CAATAAAGGCATTCTATTCTATTCAATTCTATTCTATTCTATTCTATTCTATTCTATTCTATTCTATTCTATTCTATTCTATTCTATCTGCATATTTCATTAAAATTGGTCTGGTGGTTCATGAAATGTTCTTCTGACCAACAGGCATCTGAGCAGGTCTGCCTTCGCCCTTTGGTAGCAGGCATTAAAAATTAGGATCTGGTGTTTTTTTGTTTTGTTTTTTCCAATGCTAATTTATTAAAGATAGTTATAATACTGTGTTTATTACTGTATTTGTAAAAAAGAGATGCCGATTAGTGAGATGGAGCTGCACACTTGTCTGCATGATTGCTGGCTGTTATAGTTTGCATTAGGGTAACCACTGATTGATTTGTGCTGACAAACGAGACCCAAGCAAATTGCTTTATTGCTCCCAGATGTCAGTTATGTCCGATTATTTGAATACTGCGAAAACAAGCGAGTGAAGTAAACAGCACATTAGTAATTTGTAACTGAGCTCTGTGTGACGCAGCTTGCTGTGAAAATCCACTCCACTTCCTGTTAAAAWWTTTTGCCTACAGGCCGTAGTTGAACCGTTTCCTCGGTTGTGGAGGCAAATGCTCTGTCAAGATTGTTTTGTTGAATTGTTTGTCTGCTTAGACAGAGCAGAGAGTGCATGTTTTCTTCGGCCTCTATACAGCTAATACACGATGCAGTCAGTCCATTTCAAATGTTGAACATTTTGGATTTTCTYGTGGTTTTTGCCCAAATTACCAAAATGTTTTATTTTTACACATMCCAACACCTACAACACTATCGGATTGAACTGACTTTAAAGAGACTAGAGAATTTGCTTAATAACTTTGATGAAGTTTGTTGAAGAAGCTGAAACTTAAATGTTAAAGCTACAAAAAGCAGAACCCTAGCTAAAGTCTAAACAGAGCAAAACATCAGCTAAAAGCTAAACTAAACTAAAAGAAACAAAAGGATAGCTAAATAGATTAGCTAAAATCTAAAAGTAGTAAAAAGGTTAAAGTTACAAGTAGCAAAGTATAGAATGGTAGCTAAAACTAGCAAAAGCCTAGCTACAAGCTATTAGTAGCATAAGGATTAAAAATAAAGCTGTATACTGAAGCAGATTTCAAAGACAACAGTTTTTGAACAATAAGATAATTCAATTGATATCGATGGAGAAAATATTTGTGAATATAATTTTTTATTTTGGAAAGTACAAAGGTTTCAAAAACCAAAAAGTCCAAATCACCTGAATGTTTTGTTGGCTAAATGCTGAGTCAGTATTCACACAATTAAAAAGAACTACCGGTAAAGGGAATCTCAAAAAGTGAGTGCTTTTCAGTATTGGCATTCCAAGAGTTAACTGTGTCAGTAGCTGATGTGGGCAATTTTATAATCAAACATTATTTCCTTTACAAAAATGAGCTTGTCAGAAGTAAGTTGCTTAAAGTGCTCCTCTGGAGTCTGCCAGTTTAATTAGCCCAAATCTTATCAGACATCAGCAGCTCTTTTCTTAAACTCCCCGTTCGGCTGCTCACACAGCAGAAAAATTTGCTACTCATTGTATCCTGACCTCACACATCTGTTCTGCTGTTTTTCCTCCTGCATGAGAGTTAAGCTCCCATGTGGCTGTCCTGCGAAGGTGAAGCTTATTAAGATCATTTCATTTTTCATAGGCCTCTGCTGTGAAACGCTCTGTGGTTTTAGGAATTTTACATTGGCAGCCTCAGTCACATGTTCGATGAGTAAGACGTCCAAAAAACTGTAATGAGATCTACTGAGAACTGCATTCCTTTTCGAGGTGTTTTATTGTTTTGCAATAAATAGAAAATACATTTATGTAAAAAAACTAAAAATTCCCAGGGAGTAAAATAAGTCTAACAAGAAAATGCATGAATTAAAGTCATGCATGCCTACAGCTTTTAGGTTCTTGTTTCTATTTTGCAATCTTAACCTTCCTGCTGCCCTTGGGTCAAAATGACCCCTAAGGCTTCAGTTTTAAGACTCAAACCTCAGGGGGCATAAATAGAGAAATAAATGCTTGTTATAGTGTGTTTTCCAAGCCAGTATGGGTTTCCTTATGATTTTTGAATTATCTTTATTAAAGTTTATTAAAAAGTTTAATAAAAAAAATAGTAAAAGCATTTGGCCAAGCAGGGCATGCTACAAATTTAAACCCATTGACAAATTTGGTGTTCCTACAGGAAAGCTTAAATTGCTCAAGTACTTCAAAAAGATAATTCAAAGACGTGTCATGTTTCACTAACGAAGTAACCAAAAACATTTCCTGAACAATGTGTTCTGTGTCAGTGTCGAGTCAGAACAAACGCTGATTAAGAGGCGCACAACACAAACAAAATCCTGTAACAAAACTCCTTGCTTTTATAACCAGTTTAGAGCCAGTGTGTGTTTAGATCAAGTTAGTAACTATAAAAAAGGTTTTCTTGTGTGATCCTTTTTGAGAAAAAAAAAGCTCATCTTAAAAAAATTTTGTTTCGGAATTCTCCCGGAAAATTCCTGTTTACCATTTTTGTTGGTAAACGGGAATTTTGCTGAATTGTTGCTGAGTGTCATGGAAAAGGCCTCTAAATCATGCAATGTATGTCCAGTTTATTTATTTATTTATTTTGCAATACTAATAAAAGAAAAGGTTTACTAAAAGCASAAGTTTAAGGAAGTATTTGTTTAAAATATCCAGACAATTTCTGCCTATTTTAGCTGCTTTTAACTGCGACAAAACTATGRCACTCCTGCCCAAACAGCTGCTCACAGAGGAAGGTTAACATGGATGCTCCCTCTGGAATTCCCACTGTCAGCGGGTTTGCTTCCAAAAGCACCAGAGGTGGTGGTGCTGGCTGCCAGTCTGAACACACTGCTTTACACAAGATGTTGCAAAACACCCATAATGAATGACCCTTTTGCAGATGTATACAATCAAAGCTTACAAAAAAAATTAAAAAAACAATTATTTGGATATCTACAGTGGGGTGCGAAAGTTGAGCAGCCTGGTTAATTTTCTTGATTTACCTTTATAAATCATTGGTTGTTTGGATAAAAATTATCATATATAGGGACAACAGATGAAAATTAGCTTGTGGCTAACTCTGGCACATTTACAGAAATGTTGATTAATGTTCACTGTCCTTTTTTAAATAAATGAATTCAAATAAGTTAAATATATCATATAGGGGGCAAATACAATCATATTTGAGAAGTGAAATGAAGTTTATATGATTTACAGAAAGTGTGCAATAATTGGTTAAACAAAATTAGGCAGGGGCATAAATTTGAGCACTGTTATTTTATTATTTCAAAACCTTTAGACCTAATTATTGAAACTTAAATTTGGTTTGGTAAGTTCAGTGACCCTTGACCACCATACACAGGTGACTCCAATTATGAGAAAGGGTATTTAAGGAGGGTATTTAAGGGGGAAAATAGTAAGTTTTTCTCCTCTTTGCATCTTCTCTGAAGAGTGGCAGCATGGGAGTCTCAAAATAACTTTCAAATGAGCTAAAAACAAAGATTGTTCACCATCATGGTTTAGGGGAAGGATACAGAAAACTATCTGAGATTTCAGCTTTCAGTCTCCACTGTGAGAAACTGTGACTGTGAGAAAATGGAAGAGCACAGGCACAGTTCAAGTGTAGGCTCCAAGTGGCAGACCAAGACTAATCTGGAATAAACAGAAGCAAAGGGTGTTGAGAACAGTCAGAGTCAACCCACAGACCAGCACCTAAGATCTACAACATAATCTTGCTGCTGATGGAGTCACTGTGCATCGTTCAACTATTCAGCACACTTTACACAAGGAGATGCTGTATGGGAGAGTGATGCAGAGGAAGACTTTTCTCCGCCCACATCACAAACAGAGCTGCTTGAGATATGCTAAAGCACATTTGGACAAGCCAGCTTCATTTTGAAATAAGGTGCTGTGGACTGATGAAACTAAAATAGAGTTATTTGTGCACAACAAGGGCCGTTATGCAGGGAGGGAAAAGAATACAGCACTACAAGAAAAACACCTGCTACCTACAGTGAAATTTGGGGTGGTTCCATCATGCTGTGGGGCAGTGTGGCCAGTACAGGGACTGGGAATCTTGTTAAAGTTGAGGGAAGCATGGATTCCAATCAATATCAGCAGATTCTGGAGACCAATGTCCAGGAATCAGTAACAAAGCTGAAGCTGCTGAAGTCGGGGCTGCATCTTCCAACAAGACAACCACCCTAAACACTGCTCAGAATCTACTAAGGCATTCATGCAGAGGAACAAGTACAATGTTCTGGAATGGCCATCTCAGTCCCCAGACCTGAATATTATTGAAAATCTGTGGTGTCACTTATAGAGAGCTGTCCATGCTCAGAAACCATCAAACCTGAATGAACTAGAGATGTTTGGTAAAGAAGAATGGTCTAAAATACCTTCAGCCACAATCCAGACTCTCATTAGAAGCTATAGGAAGCGTTTAGAGAATATTTCTGTGAAAGGAGGATCTACTAAATATTGAGTTAAGGTTTTTTTATGGTGCCCAAATTTATGCACCTGCCTAATTTTGTTTAACCAATTATTGCACACTTTCTGTAAATCATATCAACTTCATTTCACTTCTCAAATATCACTGTTTGTCTCCTATATGATATATTTTACTGATTTTTTTATCCAAACAATCAATGATTTATAAAGGCAAATCAGAAAAATTAAAAAGGCTGCCCAAACTTTTGCACCCCACTGTAAATCTCTTTTAGATATGACAAAAATAAACACTTGACATCATCAACATGTTAACATGACAATATTCAGTCATTTTCATGTTTGAATTCATGTTCTTAGCTTTATCCAAAGTGTAGCTGCTATTTGTGCCAAAGTGAACAGTGCACAAATGGCAATCTCCACTCGGGATGTCAAAAGTATTAGACATATTGTCTGCYGCTCTCTCAAATGATAGGTCAGTCGGCATGGATTATACAGAAGTCTCAGTGTTAATATCGTACCAGTAAAAGATGTTTCTAGAGCAAATTTTGACACATCCGACTTCAGGAATGACAGGAAAGTTTGTTGAAAGGTTGTCTGGAGGGTCAAGGTGTCTTCTAGCTTAGCTTGGTGCATCTATCGTGTGTGTACATGTTTTTGTTACCTGGTGGTAGGGTTGGGCGATAAATCAATTTAATCGATTAATTCGAATTTGCCATTTATAAAGATTTAATTTTGGGAACATCAAGATTTTTTCCCACCAGTGCACACTTTGGGGCTTCTGTCGTTCGGTCACCACACCTGTCCCCCAAGATGCTCGGTACATGACATGACAATATGGCAGGTAGGAAAGAGGGTCTGCTTCTCAATAAAGGTACTGTTTCTTCAGTTTTCTGGAACTGGTTAGGTTTTGCAACCTCGGACTTAACACAACGAGCACCTCACTGCAAAATCTGTTTGAAGGCTCTTCCTTCAAAAAGCAGGAGTACAACAAATTTGTTTCAACATCTGAAACAGAGGCACTCTAAGTGGGAAGCAAAATCGATTAAAATCGAAAATCAAATTTGGGATGAAAAAAAACTGAGCTTATTTTTTTGGGCCCTATCTGGTGGGGATGATTTTTGACTATTTTCCCAGCACACACAGCCTTCTGAGGACCCACTGTTCCCTATGGGGACCTAAGCCCAGTCCAGTGTTGGTATTTTACCTTTGATAAAATGTTTAGGGCAGACGTTAAATCCATTTTTCCAGTCAAATTTCACTTGTCCCATCTCTAGAATCCAGCTGTTAGTTTAGCATCTTAGCTTAGGAAAAGTGACAGAAAATACTCCTTCCACGTGGGAATGATCCTGAGTCATTATAAGTAGTTTTGTGGTCCTCCGTGTGGAGTTTCAGACTGTTTTCCTGGATTTATTTAAGTGTAAACACAGCTTAACCGGTGCACTGTGATTGAAATCAATGAAGCTGTAACCTGAGTTCGTACGTGCAYCGGTGTCGAGCGGACAGTCACGTGACCATTGTTCTTAAAATAGTCTGACTGGAGGTCCCCATTCAGGTGTAACACTAAAGTTTCCATAGTTCACTTTCATGCAACATAACAGTAATGAAATGGGGCAGCTGCTCATATAAATTTATCTGAACTTAAATTTTTTTTTTACAAGTTTAAGCTTTGAATATCTTCTGTTGTAAAGAGTATAAACACTGTAATAAGTAGAGCTATTTTTATTTTGTCTGTGTTTGGTGATTACAGTTTTAGCTAGTTTTCTGTTACCGTTGAGATGTGAGTTAAGATGGGGTGGATGTAAATAAAAAAAGGAGTCAATATGCTTGATAAAGGGTATATTTGTCTGCTCTTAAAAATTAATGTGCATGAGGTGGAATGGAAACATTTTTTTAATATACTTTGGCCTACTGTTTTTGGTCTGAGACTAACACATAACAAAAGGATATGACTCATTATTTTTTTTCTTATTTTCTTCTGAAAGGATATTACCCAAGAATAAAGTATTTCCTGTAGAAAAGTTCTCTACCTTATCTTCAAAACTAAGTCATGTAGTTAAAACAGTCTAGTTCATTCATTCTTTGACAGGATCTGTAAGATTTCTCTTTAAAGTGGTAACAGGCAGTTCTAATATGTACTTGAGTATATTAAGGGATCTTGGCACAGTAATGCAAACTATTTTAATAATTTAAGATAACCTAAAAAGTGCTGTCTTGCATTTTTACTTGATAAGAAGATAAGATAAGATAAAAACTTTATTGATCCCACAKTGGGGAAATTTGCACATTACTGCAGCTYAATACAGGAGAGGCTGAGAAGAATAATGAAAGATAAATAAAAGATAAAAAAACCACAATATACACATGTGATGTATAATAATGTACCAATTCACATATACACATATACATAAACACATATGCATATACATTTTTATACATATATACCGTATAGTACAGTAAATAAATGAATGAGCCTTGTGATCAAATAATATTGTAATTTTTTTTCTTTAAAAAAAAGAACAAGTTTTATGCTTAATTGAAAAACTGAAAATAATTTGAATATTTGTAAAACAATAATTGATGTAGAGCAATGCATTTGGATTTTCTTGGTCCACCATGCTTTGCTTCCATAAACATGTATATCAAATCATAATTTTTTTGTTTTTTTTTAAGTTTGTGGTGACTTCGTTAATCAGGTTTATCTGTACAATATGATAAATGATATGTACAATATGTGATTTGGGTTTATGTGTTTACATGTTTTCTAAAGTGGGAAATAAATTTGATGTAGAACAATATTTTCTTCATATCGTGCTTTTATAACTTTCATTATAAAGCAACCATATTTATACAAAACTATTAATGAAACGTTATGGCTGATTTAAACAAAAGCAATATGATTTTTAATTTTTTCAAAAGTTAGGYGCTTTTCTTTTTCAAATCAAACTCTGACATAAAAAAAATCAATATAAGTACAGTATGTAAAATGGAAGTTTTATATTGTTCATCTTCATAGTAGATGTACACTTGTAAAATGCAGTGATGCCACATATGTCAGTGTGTGTCATCATCTTGTGTAGCTGATGAAAATGTGTCGTGTTTGTTACGAGGAGCAGGCTGGAAACCTGTGCACTGTTCCTTTAACAGGCTTCTCTGGTGCTCTGCCTTGTGCTTGGGGCATAGTGGGGGAGGGAGGGACGTTGTTGATGAAAAGATGAGCTCCGACTGGTGGAAGTGTGTGACGTCAGGAAAAGGAGAGGGCCTGTGGTGTAAAATAACATGTCCTTATATGGTGGGAGGTGGACAGTGCCATTTGCAGAGAGAGGTGAGATTCATTCTGTTCTCAGGGATCCCGTTTGCTCTGTTTTTTTTTTTTCAATTTATTCTTTAATTTACCTGTAAAGCTACCATAAAACCAATCTAACTTACTTTGTTTATTTGTTTAACAAAAACCTAACTATGTGTTTAATATTTATCTTTTATTTAACTTGAAGGTATTCACTTTAATCTCTATTTTAGGAGTAAAATGAGTCATGTTTGGGTTAAAAACAAAGATTTCTGTGTTCACTGCCTCCCTTTGAGGATTAATATACCTCTAAATGAACAAAAATAAGGTATTTTAAAAAGTGAAAGATTACATTATGTATTTCTATCACTGTTTTTCTCTGTGATGTTGACATTTGCTCATTCACCCCCACCCCCCTTTTAATCTGCTCGCTTGTTCTCCATTCATGCTTTAACCTCAGAACAACAAAACAGAAACAAAAGCTGGGTCTGACTCTCGACTTTGCTTAACATGTGACTTACCTCTGATGTTTTCCTACTTGGTATCGCCTGAGAACAAGCAGTCACCTCCCCTCCCTAAGTCAGATTTGTCTCCACTCCAAGGAAATGCACTTAGTCGAGTAAGGAAACTGTAGTTGCACTCTTCCAGCTGGACACTTGTACATTCATTTAGTAAAAAGGGACCAGGCTGTCTTCAAAGGAGGAAGTTGGTGGACAAGTTTAGGCTAACAAGCCATGACAAGGATATTTGTGAATCTCTGAAAGATCTTTTGAACCCCCCCTCCTTCCAATGTTTCAGTGGTTGGGGCCATGGCCTCTCAGTCAGGGTAAGAAATGTTCAGCTAGTTGGTTGTTTTCAATATCTTGCTATATGTTTTATGAAAGTATGAAAATCTTCTGTATAGCACAGTAAAACTTTAGTGTTTCTTCTAGTTTTGGATGACATTTCATCATGGTTATGTTAGAGGCCCAGTCATATATTCATAATAATCAGATAACCATCAGCTCTTATTTACTGGTTTCACACAAGTTGTGGTTGTTGTGAGTTAGAAAGAGACATAYGAGCTGATTAATTTGGGTACAACATGAACTGTTTTCTCAACTCAGAAGACTTTGACCTTTTCTGTTTAGCATGCTGTTGAATCACTACATTACTTTACACACTAATAGTTTTCTTTAAGCTTGAGAAGTGAGACATGCTTTACAAGCTTTTATGTATGTTTGTAATAAAGTAAATATTTTGTTTTACTTCTTATTCATTAGATACATGTAGGGGAACTTGGGCCTTGCTTGGCCAAAATTTCCAAGTCAAAGCTCACCTGACCGGACCGTCTAACTTCAAAACAGAGATTGTGTAACGCAGATATTATCTTTTGCTTCATCTGGATATCTACAAACATATCTTAYATTAATATAATTGATTCTGTGGGGTTTTATATTAAGAGTAAATCAAATATTGGCTTAAATTGTACAGTTTAGTTATACTACATTCTTAAAAAACTCTTTAGCTTGGAAGTTACAACTTGATTTGAAAAATTAAAACCAGGATGACCAAGGTTGGCAAGACACCTGTCAAATCAATGAGTAAAGTTTATTAGTACAAACATACTTTAAATTTAATTGGTTTAAAATTAGGGGTGCACCGATTGTAGGTTTCTGGGTGATCACGATCCGATTCCAATTTTGGCCAATACTTATTTTTTAAACAGCTGATCAGTATCAGATGTTATAAGGTCCCAAAACACATTCAAAGTTCCAATTGTATTTCATTGAAACAATCCAAACTTGTTCCACCGATTTTGTGTAAGTATCAGCCGATTTCCCGAAATTAAGGAAAAAAGTGCAGATAAATCGTCTGGCTGATTTAACTGTGCACCCCTATTTTATATGTTTAATGGTAATTTTGTATGCATAAAAAACAGAATGAAATCATCAGGAATTGACTTTGCAGTGACCTCATGTCACCAGCCTTTTCTTTTTTGTTGTTATTGCCCTCAGTTTGAATTTATGACATACTTTGTTTATTCAAACTAAAAGTGTACTTTGTTGTGTTTTCCTCTACAYACTAAAGTAAGCCCTGCATAAGATAGTCCCCTCTAATTTAAGGTACTCTTTTTGTTTTCACACTTAAGCTGTCCTTTTGTTACATGAAAGGCTCAGATTTAAAGAACACTTCAATGACTTGGTTAGATACATTTATTAACTACCACGTTTCTGCACCAGCTGTTTGAAACCAGCAACAGACAGTTGAGTTTTGCATGCAGGGATTTCCTGTACCACAGTGTGACAGAGTCTCACAACTCATAAGAATCAACAGATCAGGTCAGTAAGTGGATAAGATGGATGTGAGTGGCGTTTATAAAAGACCCTGCCTCTGTGCAAACAGTGGATCATTCAGAGAAGCAGTCCCACTCCYAACCAACTTCAACCGATTAATTTACATTTAATGTACTATTATTATGGCATAGTAACAACAGTATTGGTACACTGTTTAGTATCACTACTTGTCTGACCAGTTAAAACGTGTAGTCTTATTTAGAGTGCTTTGGCTTTAACCACACACAACATTTATAACATGAAAGACCCTCAAATGAAAGATTGTGCTTGTCAGCTGTGTGGTAAATTAGACAGAATGACTATCATTACACTGAGTTTACTGAGTGTGGTTTTAGTAAATCATCTTCACTGTTGGCTGTCATGGACACGTGATGTCGGCACAAGGTAATCAGTGGTCAGTTCAGTTGTAGTAACTTTGTTATTATGAAAAGTGTTTTGTTGTGCATTTAGGTTTGGTATAGTCTTACTTCTTAGCTGCGCTGTACAACAACATTTTGAATTCTTTACATGTCCACTGACCAAACTGTTAAAAACAACTACCATTCACTCGTTCGTAGAAATGCGCCAGTTCTGGCTTTGTGGGTCAGTTTCTTTGTGTATCTAGCAGTTGACTGCTAGAGACAAGAGGCGTTAACGTTTTTGTTTTGCGTGTGTCTGTAGGGTTAACTAAATATCTAATGAACCTAATGATTTTAGTAAAACTTTCAGAGGGTAGTTACAGGATTTACATCTGCAGCTGATTAACTTCTGGAGTTACCCTGTTCAAGATGGCCACCTTAGCAGACATAATAATTCCTGTAACTTGGCAACTTTTACTGATATGGAGCTCAAATTTGGTGTGTTAGTAGCTGAGTCATCATCAAGTTTCCCAACAGCTATTCCGTCTTGCAAGTTGTAACAAAATCACGAGATTTACAAGGTTTGATCAAAACTGCTGTAACTCCATCACTTCTCAGCACAAGATGGCTTTTAATTATGGCTGCAATGACTTCTAAGTCAGCTTCAGTTAACTGGGTTTGGAGCACCAAGGCCCCCGGACCTGCACAGCCCTTGCTGCAGGTGAGGTGGCCCTCAGTAGGGTGAACCCATATGGCGCTCTCAGGTTGAGCCCAACCATGCCTCCAGGTTGGAGGCCTGATCACCAGGTTCTCGTGTGTCCCTCCCACAAACCTGGCTCCAGGTTCTGGCCCCGGTAACCCACATCCAGGCGAGGGACGTTGAGCTTCTTGCTGTCTTCTGTCCATCCAAGTATGGTCAATCGCTCTTTGTCAGGTCTGTCACATAGAACCAGTCTGCCTTGGGAGATCCTACCGATCATTCAGGCACACCAACTCATCCACCTTCTCCTCCTAGCTGTTTGTAAATCTCATTCTTCTTCACAGTTAATGACTCATATCTGGTTGGCACTGATGATGTGAAACAGGCAAAAGTTTTGTTAAAAGATTTGCTGGGAAGTTACACTACAGACTCACTGATGAGTTTTACAGAAAGACAGTCAGAAGTTATAAAAACGTTTGATTGTGTAAACACTGGTAAGCATTTTGTCTCCAACTACGGCAGAGTTTCTTGTCCTAATAAATGACTTTAGGATAGTGGTGAAAGAAATATTGATACAAACAGTAGCTGTGTGTAGTTGCACTTTAGAAGAAAAACTGTCATGATCAAGGGAAATCGTTGTTTTACTTGTTGGTTTTGTTTTCTTTTTGCTCTGAAACCAGAGCAGAAAGACTTCAGCACTGCATATTATTTGTTCTTTGATCACAAGTCATATAGTCATCACAATATTACAGGTTTTCTTGATATTGTGCAGCCCTAGTGGAGGATTTAAAAAGAATATGAGAGCCGCTTTATTGTGTCTGGACAAGCCTAAGCTTATTAGAGACTACTTTCCCCACAGGTCATCTCTGAATATCGCTGTTTATGTTTTTGCAATATACCAAAATAAAAGCTCACAAATATGTGTATACCCTATTTATATCCTAAATAATGCTACCTTGTCTTCATTAGCTATTATATACACACAGTCTACTAATTGTTTTCTTTATTTAAGCTGATTTTCTTGCTCTGTTTGTGTTAACAGCAACATGAACCGTGAGGACCGGAATGTGCTCCGAATGAAAGAAAGAGAAAGGAGAAATCAAGAAATCCAGCAGGGAGGAGGAGAGGCCTTTCCAGCTAATTCACCTCTCTTCCCCGAACCCTATAAAGTTGTAAGTTTGTTTAGAGTCTTAATTCACAGTTGGCATGTAGTTGATCTGTTTGAAGTGACGTGCAACTCTTACAGGAAGTGAAAGCTGCAATGTCAGAAAGCTTCTTAGAGGTGCAGCRTTGTTCATGTTTACTGTTCAAGTTCTGAAGAATAAAAAGGTTAAGGTGGGATGTTTTGTTTCAACATGTCTGAATATTTAGTAACTAATATTTTTAATTTTGTTCTAATCTAGATGATCTCACAAATTAAAAAAGGTAACTTACATAGCATGTGTTATGTTAATCATAATCAGATATTAAAAGAAATACTTGGTGCTTTGAAATATAAGCTCAACCAGTTGTCTCGTGATCAGTAATCGGCTAGCTGCACAGAATTCAAAACAGCCTGCTGACAGTTCCTGGTGTTGATTTGCTGTTTTGTCACGCAGCTGTTAATAGTAAACAAAGCAAGACACGGTGTCTCTGCTGCACTTCCTCCTGTGTCGTCTGCTTGTGCTCACARCAGATATAAAGGCCATCCAGCTCCTGCCAGCCAATATAATTGTAAAGAGGATTTAGTTTCTCTGTACTGGTGTAATCTTTGCCACTAACCAGATTTGAGCAGATGTAAGTGGCTCCTCTCCTTAACTAGGCCTAGCCATCAAAGAAGCAGTGAGGAATGTGTCCTGACAGGTTGCGAATAGAAAAGCCACCAAAGGTGAGTGATGTGTGTGTGTGTGTGTGTGTGTGTGTGTGTGTGTGTGTGTGTGTGTGTGTGTGTGTGT